CCCAGAACAGCTGCTGCCTGCCTTGGGGATCCACAGCTTGTAATTACTACAGAGCAACTTCCTTCCCCTCTGAAGATGAGGAGCAGGAGAAGGGATGAGGAGGAGGTGGGGCAGCAGCCAGGGTGGTCAAGGTATAAAAACCAGCTCAGGGAGGGCAGTGTACAGGACAAGCCTTGGGGCTTGGGGTGGAGGAGCCAGGGGTGGGGGGTCGGGTGTTGGGAGCAGGGGTGAAGAATGGCCTAACTGTTCTCAGAATGGTGGGCCAGTCAGAGGAGGCTGATGGAGGGTCACCTTTATCCTGGCAGGGTCCAGGAGAGGAGTCTGGGCCTGGAGCCTTCCCGGGCCCCACCCAATCCCCCTGCCCAGGGACTTGAGCCAGGGGCAGCAGCTTTAATGAGGAGATGTTGCTGCCATGACTCAGCCCTCCAAAGGTACCTTCATTTATTTTATTTTTCCATCATAAAAACCCAAGCTGCAACTCAGATTCCCTGGCCATGGGGGATGGGGAAACACCAGCAGTGACAGCAGTGAGGTCCTCAGAGAGGTCTGACTAACCCGCCCCAGTGCCCTTCTTAGAGAGAAGAATTAATGGGTTCCCTGGCTGGTCCCTACGGGGAAAAGGGACCTGGGATGGGGACCCTTTAGGGATCCTTCAGACCTGCCCTCACGGCCTCTGCCTCCTGTTGGAGCCACTTTTATCCAGGCCAGGTCTTTTATTCAGAGTTTTGCTCTGACTAGACATCATAGCAAAACTTGAACTAGTGCCAGGGCTGGTTCAAGGGGCCACTTCACAGTCCAGAGCTGCCTGCCTGTCTCAAATGCTTTCTTCCAAAGAGAAGGTCCAAATGATACGCTTCTCACCTCGTCCACTCAGCCCCTCCCCTAAGACTGCCCCATTGAACCCTCTTGGTAAAATCAGGCTGGGAGTCAGAGAACCGGAGACCGTAAAGGTCATCTGATGCCCAAGTCCCTTCAAACGTCATAGCCAGCCTCTGTTTGAATGGTACCAGGAAACTTGCTACTTCCAAGACAACCCATTCTGTCCTTGGCTCTGACTGCTCCTTCCTGCCAAGATGGCACCGAAGCACATATCCCCTGCAGCATACTGGCAAAACCGGTGTCCAACCTGACTGCAGGCACTGGCCCCAGCTTATACTGGTCGAGTGAGTGTATCTGGCCAAGTAAAGGCTTGAGGAAGGAAAATTGAGAACAACTCGCTCTGCCCCAAACCTGGCATGGAATCTCCAGAAACCACACAAGAACCTTCCCGATCCCCAGTCTGGGTCTATCGTGTAACCAAAGCAAGCAAGGTTCCTAGAAGCCTCCACTCCTGGCAAGGCCCTAGCCTTGAACTGGTGGCTCACAGAAGTCTTGAGAGTCCGGAGGTGAGCTGACACTCAGAGCAGCAGGGGCTTGGTTGGGGAAGCCAAGTTCTTGGCTGTCTGGGGTCAGATACTTTCCTCTCCTCCCTTGAGACTGTGCCCTTGAAGCACCAAGCCTCCAGGGAATCCCACTCCAAGAACTAGGCTACTGAGCCAACCTGTCTCCGCTCCCTTGATCCCATCCTTCCTGGCCTTGCCCACAGCTGAGGCCAGGCCAGGATACAATGCTGGAGAGGGGCGGGGAGTCTGTAGGCAATGCAAGGGGGTCTTGGCCTGGAGTCCCAGCGGAGCTCATTCCAGGGGAAAAGAAACAGGCCTGGCTCAGAGAGCAGCACTGATTCCTCCTACTGACTCATTTCAACAACACGGCTGCAGCCACCGTGCCAAGTGGACAGTGCCGCCCCTCACGGCTCCCCCTGCGGCCCCTGGCCATCCCTTTGAACTTGCTCTCTTGACTATTTGGCCAGTTACCTGGCAGAACCTACCTCGGATCCTCTGATGGACAGCTCTAGCCCTGGACAGCCCCTTGCTTTCTTCTCAAGATCCCCCTAGGGAGAGTGGGGCAATTATAACCAGATCCCCAAGAATTAGGGGCAAGTTCCTTCTCAAAGCGCTACTGCTGTTTCAAAGCCATTTTCATCCTGTCTTCCAGTTTTTTTTCAGGGCCTAGGAATCAGCCTAGTGGGGCCTAATCCTAGGGAGCTTCCCAACTGCAGCATGGATTTACCTGTGTCTGAGAGCTTCCTCCCTCCTCCCCTCCCCCCTCCTGGCTCCCTCCCCCAGGGAAATCACTCTAAAAGGGCCTAATGGAACTATGTCCTCCTCTCTTCCTCTCTCTCCTCCCTCCCTCCCTTTCTTTCTCTTTCCTTTTTTTTTTATTAGCATTTGTGGAATTTATTCCCAAACTCTCCTAATCTTCCGTACACAACCATTTGATTTGCATAACCCAACCCCCTCTCATAAAAACTGGCTGCTAGTTTAATTAAAAAATGTAAATTTGCTGTCATCTCGGGGCCTGGTGAATTAGGACGACATCGGCATTTTTTATTGCTAAAGACGTCCAGATTGATCCAGCCCTTGGCTGAACTATGGTGGAAGAAAAGGGGTCCACATGGCCTCTGAGGGTCTTGAGATCCTGCTATCTCCTCCTGAGAAGCATTGGTTCTCCCACCACTGAATTACTTGTGGCCAGAGTGCTTCAGAACCTAGCCCTGTCCGAGGCTGGAGGCGATGTTATCCCATGGTTGAATGCTTACTGGGGGCCTGGTGCCAGTAAGCTTTTGGGGACTGTGTCTCCAGTTCATATTGTGCTGGAGAGGTCCTCGGCAGAAGTTGCCCATGGTCCCCCAGTAGAAGAGAGCCCCTCACCACACTGGCAATAAGCCCTGGCCAGAAATGAGGGCCCTGGTCCTGGCTGTGTCCAGAAGTATATTCCAGAGATCGAAGGAAGATGAACATGGAGTTGGCCCAGAGACAGGCTCAGAGGGGATCTCAGAAATCCCACCTGCTTCCCTTTTTTAGTGAAGAGGGAAAAAAGTGCTTTTCTTCTGAAGTTCTGAGATTAAATGAAACTTCCAAGTACAAAGAAAAGGTTAAGATGGTATCACCAGATGACTCCTCCAGGAAATAGTCAGATCTTTGACACCCTGGACCTCCCCTCACTGAGTGGCCAGAGTCCAGGCCTGGGTCCTGCTGGGAGTGCCCTGCTCCAGCTACGGGAGGGACCAGCTGACCTCAGGGGCCCTTCTAACTTCTAGGAAAAGTTTCCAGAGTCTGCCCCTGGAGCACTGGGAGACGTAAGCACTGGGAAAGATGCTACAAGAGGTTCTGCCACCCATGGGCACAGGACACCCTCTCTCTAGTAGGGGACACCCTGCAGAAGGGCTTTGGAGTGTATATATAGGGTACAGGGCAGGAAGATGGATATCAGTTCTACTTAGCATCTGGATTAGAAGGAAGAAGATGAGGAGGGCCTGCCTTCCAGTTGAGTAATTCCTGGGTCCCATGTGCCCGCCCACAAGCAGAGTTCACCTGCCCCGAGCAGGGGGTGGTATGTTATCACCCACCCATCTATAGGGTCTGCTTCTTGGCTGGGATGGGTGGGAGACCTATTTCTGAAGAAAGGGGGTGGGGCCCAAGAGGGAGGTGATGAGACACCTGATTAGAGGTAGGGGCGGGCTGCTTTTCTGCTGGAGTGAAGGGCGGGGAGGGGCAGGGCAGGGCGGCAGCAATGGCCTCAGACACCTTCACCACTTTGCCCAGCAGGGGGTGTCACACTCTTCCTGGGCACAGAGGTCCTGAGGGCATCCACACTGAATTCATCAAGATCACACCTGGCTGCACATAGTCTTAAAACCCCTTCCCCCACAAACATACGTGCCTCCCTCCCAAAGCCGGTCGCCATGTCCTGTTACCCAACCTGGGCCCCCAGTTCTGCCTCCTGCCTTCTCTGCCCACTCCCCTTTGACTCCAGAAGGTCAAATGTCAGCTCATGGGTCCCAAGGGGCAATGCCATGAACTTGGGCCATTATAAGCAACTCTCCAGCCACCCACACCACCTTCTATAAATGAAACAGTAGGGTTCAGAGATCAGTCTTAATGAATTATCAACCTGTTTATTACTGACTTCTTTTGAAAACATTTAGGAAGAAGACCGCTGCTTTTGTCAGTCTGGGATCTGAGAGTCCCAGTCAAAATTCAGTTTCAATACAGAGGGCTAATGGAAAGCCTAGGAACTTGAAGCAAACCTCATTCTGGACTCAGGTTGGAAACTCAGATGGGAGGAGAAGTGAAATACTGAATAAAATTAGATTAAAACCGATAAAACACCAAAATCTCAGGATAAACTCTACCCTAGGCCAGCACCATACTACTGGGAACCCTAACCTAGGCATCATGCTAGGCCCCTCAAAACCCAGACGTCAAAATTTACTAGTTTGTCTGGCCTACCCTCTCCCGGGGTGGGGGCTAAGGGGGATGGGAGAGTCCCGGGCCCCTCACTTTGAACTGATAACAGCCGCCTCATCCCACGGATTCTCAGGTGAAAAATACTCATTAGCCGTAATAAGCAGCTTGATCATCCGACACAGCCTTGTCCCAAATAAATTAAATTCCTTTACCTTGAGACAGTCGCCCCGAAACCAGACTAACCACCTTTCCCAACAGGACGCTGCTTTCAAAAACTAAACCACCCCCCACTAAAAAAATAAAAACACACACCCCACAGCCAGACACACAGAGATCTTTGCTGGGGAAAAAAAAAAAACACAAAAAACACGGAGCTATTCAAAAAATACGGAGAACAAAAACCCCCACAAAAAACCCCTAAATCCTCTCTCTGGGTGCCCCCCAGCTCCCTCTCCCCTCGGTTCTTTCATAATGACAAGCATCAAATTAGTCACAGCCACTAAGCAAGTAACAAATAATAACAATAATATCATCAGAAGCCTCGCAATCCAGAAACCAGGGTGAGAAGCGCAGCCGAGCCGGCACCAGACCCTCCTCAGGCCAGCCCCCACCCCCTGCTCAGCTGCTACCTCATTGGGCTAAAAATAATAACTTCCGTAAAAGAACCGAAAGAAAAGTGAAAGAGCCTCCCTGGTTCCCACCGGCCGGTACCTGTACCAAGATCCATTCTTCTCTCTTTGGTCCCAAACTCTTCGAGGAACGCCAAAAAAAAAAAGAGGAAAGAAAAGAAATCTGTTTAGTCTGTCGCAGTGCCCCCCACTCCCCACCCCAATCTCCCCCCTCCGCTCGCCGCACCCTCCCCCCATCGAGGGGCGGTCAAGTCCCAGGGGCTGGGGGAGAAATGAGAAGGGGGACCGGGGAGGGGGAGGGAGAGCGAAAGTTTCTCCCTCCCTCCCCTCTCGCTCTCGC